ATATCTTTTGCCCCTTGTCTTGCCTGGAAAAAATGTCCTATCTCCATGACAAGCTATATGAGGATGGAAGAAATAGTGAATGAGGAAAACAGAAGTATGAGCTCTTAATAGCATTGTGAAGTCCCTATACCAACCCTAGGCTATACACCTCTGGACTTTTTTGTGTGACAAGTAAACCTGATACTTGTTTAAAAGGTTCTAACTAGGCTTCTGTTCCATGCAGCTGAACACAACTATAATTGATAGCTACTGTAATCATTGAGAGGGCACAGTTTGCCTGTTTCTCCTTTGCTTCCCTCAAATCTAGGACACTGCCTATCCAGTAATAGGTATTCAACAAATATATGGCACAATATTCAATAAATAATGGAATAAATGGAAAAATTTTTTAAAAATCTGCATTTAAAGCATTCTGTCTAGGTAGTTTAAAAACATTTCAATTTAAATAATTCTGATTCAAAGACAAACAATAGTTATACCAAACAAAACTAAGACTAAGTCCTTTTAAAACATTTGTATCAATGTTAATTACCATCAAGAGGTAAAGGCAGACATTTGAAAATGTTCTAAGTTCTTAACTATCCTTAAACTCTTGTTTCTCTAATATTTCTAATATATTCTAAAATATGTTAAATATAAAAATAAATTTTTAGTAGTTATCACCACTAATCCAATATGTTTTTAAAATATGCTTTAAAATATATAGGAATCTTTAAAAATATGTTGAATTACATAAAAATTAACATTTAAAAATTCAACATATACACTTTAAAAATTCCCTTTCTAGTATATCTAGCAATTAATAACTTTTAAAGGAGAGAATTACAAATAGTTTTTCCCTCCAAAACTGTTCCTGAATTTCTCCAACTGCAAAATGAGAAATTCTTAACCTATCTGTGGTTGTTTTAAGAACTGAACAGGGTAATTCGTACAAATAGTCTTCAACTCAGAATAGTTTGACTTATGACTTTTTTTGTTTATAATGGTACAAAAGCAATATGCTTTTTTATAGAAATTATTCTTCCAATTCTCACCTTTTCCCAGGCTAATGATATGTAATATGATATACTGGTGAGATACTGGGCAGCAGCAGCAGAGAGGTGCAGCTTCTAGTCAGCCATGTAATCTGGAGGGCAAACAACTGTTTTTTATAGTCTACAGTGTTGCTAAGCTATGATGTTTGGTAGGTTAATTATTTAATTCAATTTCAACTTAATGATATTTACAATTTATGCTAGGTTTATCAGAATGCAACCTACTATAAGTCAATAAGCATCTATATACAATACAACACTTATTAACACAGTGAGTATAATGTAGGCAATGCTTATAAAAAGTACCACTTTAAAGATTTTGTCAGTACAATCAGAAAGAAGGCTAATTTTCATAAGAAATTAGAGTATACATAATTTTTAATAATTTGGACCACCTACTACAAAAGGAAACCAATTGTCTTCCTTATTTCCCCAAAGCTTCTATGGTCAATCTTCAAAAATGTTATATCACCCTATTCTTGTAGTTTTAGGTTAACCTTTTGTGATTAAATTAGGCACTCCATCTTCCTCTATGTAATGATTTAGATCTTAGCTGTCCCCCCAAAGCTCATGTTTAAAACAACTCATAGAAATTTAGAAGTGAAATTATTGGATTAGAAGAGTCTTAACCTATATCAATGAATTAACATTTGAATGGATTAATTGGGTGGTAATTATAGGCAGGTAGGTGTGGCTGGAAGAGGTGGGTCACTAGAGGCATGCTTCTGGGTTTTATATTCTGTCCTTGGTGAGCCAGAGCTCTTTATGCCTACTGATTGCCATGTCCTGAACTTCCTTCCTCCACCATGCCCTTCTGTCCTGACGCTGTGCCTTACCTTGAGCCCAGAGCAATGGAGATGATCATGTATGTACTGAGACCTCTGAAACCCTTAGCCCCAAATAAATGTTTCTCCTCTAAAATTATTCTTGTCAGGTCTTTTGGTCATCAGTGGTGAAAAAACTAACTTCAACACACTGTTGTGTTTTGACACACAGAGAAAATTACCCCCAGAAATTTATTTCATGATGTTGAAGGGATTTAGAAACCTCTTTTAAAAATTATGATCTAGGGGCTGTGGTTCAGTGGTAGAGTGTTTGCCTTGCACGTGTGAAGCACTAGGTTCAGCACCACATAAAAAATAAATAAATAAATAAATTAAATAAAGGTATTGTGTCATGTACAACTAAAAAAAAGTTTTTTAAAAATTATGATCTAGAGGGACTGGCGGGTGAGCAGGAAAAAAAATTTTGATCTAGCACAGAATTGAAACATACACTTTCTATGTGAATTGGGAAGAAGTAACAGAAATCCTTTGTACAAATCTATTTTGGGCAAATCTAAAGTACAAGAGACTTTGGATAATCTCTTTCTTAAACAGTTTTGCCAAGGATTTTGACTTATCTTCTTTCATTTGCTCCTTGTAATTACCATGTTAAGGTAATAATTGGCAAAGCCCCAATTATTCCCTGCTCCTACTGGCTCCTTATTGTACCATGGGGAATTATTGGGGCTTTCCAAATATGACCTCTATACATGTGAAATACCAAGTTCTGGAGAAGCCAAGTTACTTCCACAAGAAACAATCCATTTTTGTTATAAATCATTGGTTTTTCATTTCAAAACATTTTATTATTTGATAGGATTAAGCTGAACAAACTAACTCTAAACCTCAGTCTAATAGAAATTATGCTTCATTATCTTATTATGAATTCTGAAATTAAGAATGCACTTAAAAATGTGAAAATGTACCTTTTGCCAGACTTTACAGAGAAAATAATTCCAAATGTTTTACCAGTGTAAAGTGTTGAGAAGCCTGCAACTTAATTTTCAAATGGTTAAACACTATTACACACACACACACACACACACACACACACACACACACATCTAATATAGGAAGAGAAATAAGGCAAATGTATACATATTAAATATAATTTTACTTTTTACTATAAATCTGAAGTTTTTTGAAAATAAACATTGATAGAGGAGGAGCAATCTAAATAAATAAATAAATAAATAAATAAAAACCAAACAAACCTTTTTTTGTCCTTACCTTGAAGTCGCTCATCAGAGAATATTTTGTTTGTTTGGTTCCAGGTGCTATCTATAAAGATAATTTTTTTCAGTATTGCGTTTTTGCACATACTATCATTCAAATCATAGTCCTCCTGATCTTCAATTTTTTTTCGTTTAAAAGATGGCTTGTCAAGGTCATCATTTTGGCCTCTACTTTTATTTTGACTCCTTTTTTGCAAGTGAAAAGAAATATCTTTTATTGAGATAGACTGAGGTCCAGGAAAAACAAGTACAACCTAAAACAAACAAACAAACAAACTGAGGTTAGTTGTGTGCTATGATCAAAATAAGTTTCAAAAGTGACCTAAGACTTTAGGGAGAAAATATGTTGAATATGTGAGAAACAAGTATTAGGTTAGTCCTACTGTATATGTTTCTTCAATATTCATGATAAAGATTTTGGCTCTTCCCTAATAATCTAAAATCATAATAACCATCTTAAAGTATTACTTCAAAATAATTTATTCACTGATTGAGAGGGCAAAGTTAAATGTATCTTGAATTAAAAATCAAAAGTACATTTCACAAGATAAAAAGGCAAAGTGCATGATAATTTATAAAAGAACCACTGACTACTGCTCAATGATTAAATACTATTTTCACCTACATGATAAGCAAAGATACATATATAGTGAATGCTGGCAAGGAATTGATGTAATGGGTCTTTATAGCCATTATTAATGGCAGGGTTCAATAGTATAATACAATGTGTTCCATTTAATCAACATAAGTGTATCTAGCTGACCAGAGAAAGAAATAAAAATATATTCCTAGATCTAAAACTCAGATATTATTTACAAACACAACTTAGTAAATAAATTCAATCAAACATATGTAAATTGATAAGAAAACCAAGTTCTTTCTGAAACAAATGAATATATAATTTTTTTATTTTGTTTCTAGGTTAGCCACACTCACAATGGCCCCCAGGAAACCTAAAGAGTTTAATGCTTCTTTCAAAAGTACCCGAGGCCTAATTTCTGAGACCTATTTATTGTAAGACCAGTAATATCCCACTGGTATAATAATATAAACTATGTGAAAACCAACTGAGAATCTAGACATGAACAAGGAAAACATCTGAGCAGTCAAGACACATTATAAAATCTACGTACTACGCTTTTATTTTAGAAAAAATTCATGAAAAACCTTCTATCTCAGTCTTTCTTTTCTTCTTATAGAGATACTCCAACAACATTTCTAATTTGGTATCCCAGTCTGCCTCAAATTAGACAGCTAGATGCTGTATTAGAGATGGAAAATGATGAGAGAAGAAAGAAAAAGCAGGCATTGTAATACTGGCAAAGAGTAAAACTCTAAAGAAATAAGATAGAAAAACTGAAAATTTAGCAGAAGATTCCAAAAAGCATAATAGTTTAGGATCACTTGACCTGTGAAGACACCAATGAAGTAAACTACATGTTGTTTAATGTTATATGAGCATAATACTAGATTATTAAGAAAAATATTAAATTGTGTTTAAGTTAGTTCAGAAAAGCAACTGGTGTTTAAAATTAATTTTTATATTTAATATGAAGAGTTGTAAAAAATAAGCTTCCTACTTCATGGTCTTTTTCTTCATACTCTGGAATACAAGGGTATGTGTAAATGTTCACAAATTCAGGTGCTAAGAGTTTTGCATGTATAGCAGTACTTTTGCCATCTGTTTCATTTGGATGTTTAATGATGTCAATCTTCAATGGAAGCTAAAGTGAAGGGAAAAAAAGACAAATGAACAAAACAAATATAAAAATTATAATTTTATGTTAATAAAAGTCTATAAAACATCAAGTTCACACTAAGTTTCTATAATCATATTTTTCTAAATCAGAATATTAAGAATGGTGAAAGTCAAAACAAAACAAACCCAAATTTCTTCCTCAATATTGTTAATCATATTATAGATCAAATATATTCAACTCATTTAACACACAATCTGCTCCTAAAGCAAAGATCTAGTGTTATTTTACTTAATTTATATGGGTAATGAATCTAATTCCTCACATTTCAGTATTTTTGCCAAGAATATTTTTTATAATTCCTATAAACTCTAGGTTTGTTTATTTTATGCTATTTTTAAAGGAAATGCAATGTTGAACAATACTTAAGATTTAAAAATCAAGCTGAAATTCTTTTCCTTACAGATCCTCTCAAGCCAAAGGTATCCTCTGTTTTGAATGTTGTGATTTTCAGCAGCATATTTTAACAGCATAAATAACTATCAATTAGAAAAACAGTAATAGGTCTAAGAGATGTAATCTTTCTATCACAAATAACTTTCTTCAAAATCACCTTGCCCACCTTCCCCTTACTATTCATTGTGTTATGGATTACACCTGTCTCTAGACAAAATATACTCTCTTGGATTTCTTGAGTTAGAGATTTTCATTATTTTACTTTGATTTATTTGGTTTAGCTCTCTTTATAATGCCTATACACATCATGTATTCAGCCATAACCATGAAAATGTAAGCTACATCTTCCCCATTATGTATAATAAGAACCCCTCCTGAGATGGGTTCTTTACTTCAGAATTTAAAAGACGTTTTAAAATGCTATTTAAAAACATATTTCCTACCATCTTCAAGTGCCCATTCCATACTAAACAGGCAAGATTCTAGGAATTTGCTCTGAAATAAAAACTATTTTTCTTGTATTTTAAACTAAACATTTTAAACAAAGTTACAATTCTAATAATTATAATGTATATTATACCTGTGAAGCAATTGCCACAATCAAGACAATGATTTGCCACTACCAAAAGTCTTCTGTTTCTCCCCCTCTTCCTCAACTACTACACTCCCAATCCTCAGGTAATCTAGATGTCACTTTAGATTGGTTTACTTTTCTATAATTTTGAAATAAATTAAATCATACAGTAAGTATTCCTCATCTTCCCTCTTTAACTGAGAATAATTATTTTGAGATTCATCCATATTGTTGTATCATTATTTCCAAAGCTTTTTAAAAGGAGCAGTTGCTGTACACTACAAGGTAGGCCCAATTTCATACATAACTTTTTTTTTCTGGACAATTATGTAAATAACATACACCAAAAAGACCTTAGCCCATAAATAAGTACTTTAAATAGTTTTCAGTTAGGGTTTCAAACACCATTATCTGCTACCCTTCCACTTAGGCCCAGGGATCAATTACACATTAGAGTCAATTGCTTCAATCATCAAACCAACTTCTATTTATAGAAAATTTACCATTTAAGTAGGCAGTTCACAAATGATTTTACATCAGTCTACTTCTGGCTGAGCTCTACATCAGACTTTCCTCATGAAGCTCAGTCTCAGCTGACACTATATTCCCTTTCCCCAGGATCTCTGAGTACCAGGTCAGCATTGTCTTAACCCAGGTAAAGTAGGAAGAGAATAGAAAGGAAAAAAATAGAAAGCAGATCATAACAAAGTACTTTTAATTCTATTATTAATAAAACTGACTTCATTATATAATTGATGAGTTGAATATTCCAAAAGCTATCACCAATATTTTTGACCACCTGGCTATCTTGAAGGATATAATTTATAGCAAGGATACATGACTCTCATTAATAAATTTTGAAAATCTTGTACCTAACCTAATTTATAAATTACACAATAAAAAGGGAAAGTCTTATGAACTAAATTATCTAAATATCAGACAATATGCAAAATTTGTGACCCCAGAACCCAATCCAGGTACTGTTAGTTCTCAATGAATAAGTCTAAGATTTCTGATGCTATGTACAGCACAAAAACAGATCAAATTATAGAAATAGATGTTTGAATTCTATATTCACATATTTTATAGGATGATATATCTTAAATAATTGAGGGGACAGTGTTAACAATAACTGTGTTTACCAGAGGGCAGTTTCAATTTTCATTAAAAAATTTTGTTTTCATAATGACATTATTTATCCAGCTTATCAATTACATTAGAACCAGCACATATGAAACATCTTTTGAAAATCTATTTTCCTACTTTCAAACAATTAAATATCTTACCAACCTTCACAAGTGGAATCTGTTCAATAGGTACATTTTCAACTGGGACATAACATGTATAGCAGTAAAACATCCTTGAACCACCACATTTGAGACACTTTGATCTCCCACTTTGCTGAGCTTTTTGAAGAACTTCTTGAGATGCTAAGCATAAGTTTTGAAGGGGATTTTCTGAAGCTATGGAAGTAGTTTTGTTTGTTTCCACAAATTTTGAATTATTTTCTTCGATTTCTTTAAGAAATACAGATGGATTGAGAGACATTCTTCCTTCAAACTGAAGTTTAACATCTACTTCTAAAACACATTATAGGTGCACTGTGAATAAAAAAGTTGAAAGGTACAAGTTAAAACAGGAAACATTTTACAGTTTCCACAAAGAAAATTACTCAGTTTAATTCACAATTGTATGCTGGTGTTAGTACTCATTAAGAAATATTAACAAGTTTTAAAGCCACTGAATTGGCATACTTTAAAACATAAAATTAAGAAGCAATAAACTCACAATAGCAAATTACAGTTATATCTTTGGGTCCTTCCTTCCATAAAAATAGAAAGATGCTATCCTAAAAAAAATATTTCAAATATAAAGTTTAGGCACTGACAATCAATTTTCTAACTCCCTTTTTTGTTCCAGAGATGGAAATTTTGTTTTATAAATATTAAGAATTCAGTGGTTTCATATCCTGGTATCAGCCAGGAATATATTCAACTCTACACTGACCTTGAATTGATACTGCATAATATCATGTCCCTAAATCTCATCCTGGACTCTAATGAAAATATCAGTAAAATTTTGTTGGATATTATAATATAATTAAGTATGTGTGTATGTATATACAAATATTTCTATCCACAATTCCTGGATCGTAACTCTTTCCCCTTCTTCCCAACAGATCACAGAAACTCTAATCTTAAATTTTCATACCCACCTTGTCTGATTGTGAATGATAAGACTCAGGATTTCAGAAAGGATTCTAACCCATGGAGGAAGGAAGGCCAAAGAATCTAATAGAAGGACTTACTGAGTTCCACATCCAGTCTATTAGCAATTATGCCTATACAGTATAGTCTCCTTAAAAATCCAAAGGCACAGGTTTGGGTGTTTCTGGATAGGTAAACACTTGGAGGTTCCCAGAAAGGTGAATGAGGACTTATCCACAAGCCAGGAGGCCCACCTCAGCTCTTCCACATGGATAAAGATCTTGCATTAGGAACTACTCAGACCTTTCCCTGTGTATCACTTTCTTGGCTGCATATTTGTATACTTTAAAATATCCTTTATTTAAAAAACAGCAAAAGTTAGTATAGTATTTCCATGAATTCTGTGAACCATTCTAATAAATTAATCAAGTTTGAGAAGGGAGTTGTGAGAATCTCAATTTATAGCTGGTGAGTAAGAAGTTCTGGGGCCCAAACTTGCAACTGTATCTGAAACTGGATCTTCCTTGGGAACAGAGCCCTCACTCTGTGTAATCTGACATTATCTTCAAGTAGTGTTCAACTGAATTAAATTAGAGGATACCCAGTTAGTATCCACTGCAGACTTGCTGGATGGGGAGAAATCTCTACACCTTTTGAGGTCACAGAAGTTTTCTGTTTTGATTATGGTGTGAGAGTAGAGGAAAAACAAGAAAGACACTTTGTATTTCCTAATACATATATGTTCTAAAAGATACATTCCTCTACAACTTAAAGCACATATAACATATCCACTATACAGAGAGACATCTATTATCAGTTATCATTTATAAAATATTCTATAAGGTGAAATAAATTATATTAAAATTTAAATTTTACAGAGTACCATTTGATTAACATTGTCCACTCAAAGAATTTCTACTGTTTTCTAAAATTATACCGCATTCAAATTCCTGAGTACCAAAGATAAAATAGTAAAATAAGTTTTCCACTTGTGTATTCTTCATGGAAGCATGATGGCTGCCAAAATTGCATACCCTCGATGCAAGATATCTTTCAAAGGAGAAGAAAGACTGGGCCTTGTTAATTTGATATGCATTCCACAGTTGTAAAATGATTCTCTTACTATAAAGCTATATGGCATTGTGGTGTTTATGAAACTCCAGGCACTGCTGAGTACAAACAGTAACAGGAGAAATGTTATAATTCCCAACAGGAAACTAGCTGTGGCTTCCTAAAGAAAATGTGAACAAGAAGTCCAGAGAAGAATAAATATACAACATAATTTGCCATCAAGAAGTATGTGACACTAATTTTAATTATTCATTAAGAGTTTCTTTTTAGATTGTAAATCCCAGTAAGCTTGAGACTCAAAGGTATGTTTTAAAAAAAAAAAAAAAAAGAATGCTGGTAGTCACTGAAGGAAAAGGAAAACACACTTGCCAAATTTATCCCAGGGAAAAACCAAAATATGCATAGTAGATATTTCTGCCATGTACTGATAGGCTCAGATTTATATCTGAGGTTGCTCAGCAAAGGTGATTTTTAGAATGAGCAAGTAGAATACATCTACTTCGAATGCCACTCCAAATCGCCTTCCTAAATAAAAGTGGCTTTTTAGTGAACATGCTTTAACAACTAGTAGAATATGAGATATTTAGACACTACCCTTTTCTTTTTTGAGTCTCAGAAGAAATTAGCAACCACATGAAAATCTTGTTTATCTTTAGAAAATGTACATATGAAACCAAATATTTTCTATACATTTTCAGATATTTTACAGAGTCCACCTACAGATTAAGGGAAGGAAATAAAAAAAACCTTAAGATAAAAAATTTAATCTAGGGACAAAAGCAGCATTAAAAGTTTGGGGAGAGATCCTCTAAGTCCCCAGAAATGAGAACTACAGTCAGCCAACAAAGTTTCAATAATCACAAGCCATCCAGTACAGCCTTGCTGCATTCAGGATGCTAATTATGTTTTGTCTACACCCTGTCAGTCTGGGTTTGTTCTGGTGTCACCTGAGGTACCTTCTGAAAAACATTTTAAGACTAAGCATTCTGAGTTATCCAAATCAAGGCCTTACAAAAAAAAAAAAAAAAAAAAGGACTGGACTAATTCTGGGTATACATGTGCACATGTGCTGTCAAACAGCTTGGCCCAGACATAGTGGGGTTGAAGAATCCAATTCCTGTGGATGCTATGAAGTTCAATATAATTGCCCGATATTCAACAAAAAATTATTTGCAGATATTCCAGAGCTCACAATGTACACTCTCTTGAGATGTCTCAGAAATATAACCCTGAATGTCACTAACTTATAACCCTGATTATCACTAATTTATAATCCTGAATGTCACTAACTTTCCACCCACATAACCAAGTAGATATGTTTTTTTTTTTCCTCTACAAAAATCAAACAACAGAAATATCTGAGATAGTGAAAGGAAAATATTTCTGGCTCTTTCCAGTGTCTCATCAACACACTCTCATCTGTGGATGAAGTAGCCACATAAAAAAAGGCTAAGAGGTTGTAAATCATGAAGAGCTTCCTCCAAAGGTCTCTGAAACCATATGATTGGAAATATACTCTGACCTAGCCAGTAGCCTACTTTAAATGTGTTCAAATAGTTTGTTGCAAACATGACTATTCAAAACCTTCAAAACAAACTTGCTAATATCAAATATATTTGGAGAAATGTAACTGGAGTTGTGGAGATTAAAGATAAAACATAATGAGTATTCCTAAGAAACTAACAAATACCTGATAGTATATCCACCATTCTGTAACTCAAGCTGAAAAAAGGAATGTTTTCACTCCTCCTTTTATTTCCCAAAAAAACTAATTAAACTCACCAAATTGCACCATTTCTACCTTTCACATAACTTTCTATTTTCAGACTTTAAAAGTCAGGACATTAATTCAGTTTCTTATCAAGTTATATGTGAGGTAGGGCAATCTCTTACACCTGTTTACCTCTTAAAACTTATAATTAGTTCCACATATTTGACACAGAAAAATGTACTTAACTTAGAAGCAACCTTTCAGAGAAGATTCACTCCAAACAGTCAACTCTGCAAAAGCAGAATTCTTTCCTGATCTCAGATATTCCTGATTCTTATGTAACAGGAGATAATCAACAAATATTTGTTAACTCAATCAAAACCATTCTGAGAAAAAGGTATACAATATGCATCTCATCTCATTACTGAATTACCTAACAAACTACCTCTGAAAGCCATCTGCAGCCTGTACAAGCAGCAGCCTGGCAACTTTTTTCCCCACCCCCTCCCCGACACACAAAAAATAATAATGTTAAAAACTCCTCGCTTTTCCATTATTCTAAGCTGACTGGCTTCCCAACTGAACATTATCTAAAATTCCCCTGTCCTTTGTTGTGGACCACTTCCGTACTGGATAAAACTCACTTCAAAAAAAAAATTTTTTTTTCTGGAGTATTTTCAAGAACTGGTCACATAATATGTACAAGTTCAACATTTTTTTTTTTAAATCCAAGATACCAAGGTTTTTTATACAGGACTAATGGCTCCTTACACAGCATCCAACATACAGTAGGCACACTGTTTTAAGTTTTTCCAAGTAGATGGGGTCCAATCATAAATAGTTCTTACATGTTGCTATCTTAAGTACTGATTTTATCATTCAACTCCATAGAACTGGCACGTGAAAACAGACTTCCTTATTTGCCTTACATACCCAAAAAAGAATTTAGACAAATGAATCAAACGCCTCCCTATGCTTATTATGTAACCATAATCTTAAGATTTTAAATACACTGTATGACGTTAAGTATCCCTGTGTCTGTTTTAAGCTTCTTCCACGACTACCAATTTCCCGCGAACCCCTCCAGAAACTAAAAATTAAAGGATGGGGTCCTTAGAGGACTGACTTTGCCATGATGAACATGATAGAGGGAAAGAAAGCATCGTGTTGGGGGAGGATTTTTTGTTTTGTTCTGCGGAAAAAATTGGGAAGCCTTTTTTCCCAAAGGTCCCTCAAGACTCTCAAGCGCCCGCGCAGGGACCAAAGTCCTCCTCACAGGTGACACCCAGCACACCTCTGCGAGGGTTCTGACAAGGAAGGTTCACTTCCCACGGCCGCAAGGCTCAGGCCATGCCACTAGTCTCTAGACACGCGCAGAGACCAGCACCGGGAGAGCAGAGGGATGCAGACCTGCACAACCCGCGAGTCCTCTCACGGCTCCACGCGTCTTCCGCTCCGCCTAAGGCCGAGGCGCGCTCCGGGCAGTGATCCCGCGCGGACCCAGCGGAGCGCTTTCCAGGAGACACCAGAGGGCGGAGCCAAGCCGTTGCTGGAGCTGAGCGCCACGCAGGCCCCAGAGCGGAGGTACCTACCGCGCCGAGAGCCAGGCGGAGTTGGACGGGAAATCCCGCCCAGTCACTCAAGCCTCTCAAGGCGGCGTAACTTTTGTTCCGGGAGACTCCAGCAGAGAACAAGGCCGGGACATCCGCGGCCTGGTCTCAGAATCGCCAGACTCACACAGTTTCCTTCTGAGTCTGGGCGGTGCCACAAAACTGGAGAAGTTCTCGAAGTATACATTCAAGCCTTAGTTGCAGTGAGTTGTAAAGAAATGCTGATCCCCAAGAGCACTTTCCACTTTATCAATCCCCAGAACATTTTACTCATGAGAATTTAGTTCAGTGACTTTTCTGTGACTATATCAAGATAACATTTCGTCTGCTGAATAGTTATTAGAAAAAGTTTGTATATTGATGAATTGGCTTGCATAAAAACATGTAAACAGAGTTGGTACCACTTCGCCTTTTTCGGATTTGAAGTTAATATGTTATTAAACCATTTTTCAATGCCCCACATTAAAGAAATCCTAACTGAAGAAGTGCGTGTTGCCGATTGTAAGATTCAGAAGCACAATAGTCAAATATTGAGCAATGTATTTATTTATTAAGTAGTATACTATGAATTGAGCAAGTCAGAGCTAAGGGACAGAGCTTTGCCCTGGATATGCTGGATATGTTTACGATGTAAAGTTTGAGTTGTACAGAAAATACAATATGATAGGGATTTCAGAAAAGCTGAGAATAAGGTAGTCAATGAAGGCTCGTTGATTGGGTTTGGGTAAGGCTTCAAAGAATGGTTATTATTTAGAGCACTCTTTTCCAGCTGGAAAGAGGATTGTATAGGACCCATTGGTACAGGTCTTGACACATTTGTAATAAAGAAAATCTCTTTCGCTTTTTAAATAATGAAATAATAAAACAGAGTAGAAATGTCAGTGCATGGAACTTAGTAAAGTATTGCTTTATAGAGCCATATATATATATACACACACTAGGTTGTTTATATAAATAAAATGTATTTCTTGTTGTATAGTATCTGAAGAGTTTGAAAGCCACTAATTTAGGGAGAAAGATGAACTTTCTGGTTAGAGAAAGCAGCAATGGTGAAAAGTCTGTAAGCCAGGAATAAATAATTCAGAAGTATTTTCATTTTGAAACCAACTCTTACCAAAGCAGTTCAGTTATACAGATTAAAAAGAAAATGATACTATTTACTAGAATACTGGGTTGCTATGTCTGTGTATAGATTACTGGAAAATATAGTAGCCTAAAACAATCATTTTATTATTTTCATAAATTACATAGTCAGTGGAGCACAGTGGATCAACTTTTCTCTGGTAACTCAACTGAGAAGTCTGTATACTAGCAGAGGTCCTGTTTATAACGTGCTGGGCTTCCTCACAGACTTCTTAATAGGCCCAGAGCTTCCTTCCTCCCACCCTTCTTCCCTTCCCTTCCCTTCCCTTCCTTTACCTTCTTTTTCCTTCCTTTCCTTTCTATCCTTCTTTCTTACCCTCAAAAAGTAACAGAAATGAGTCCTTTCCAGATTATAGGAGAGAAGACAAAACTCACTTCTCAAAAGATGGTCAAAGAATTTGTGGCCAATTTTTGTTAAACCAACATACTGAATTTACTGCTATAACAAAAGACCCCAAAATATCAGAGGCTCAATATTAAAAAAAAAATGTCTAACAAAAGAGCCATTGTGAATGTCCCTAGTCAGATGAACTATTATACTCAAGGACACAGGCTTTACTTTTTTTTTTCTTTTCTTTTTCTTTTGGTAGAGAGGTTCTGCTGCCTCCTAGGATTTAGGGTCCATAGCTTATTGATAAGAATGAAAGCCAGGTGTGGTAATAGGCACCTATATTCCCAGCTGCTCCCAAGGTACTTGGGAGGCTGAGGCAGGACAGTTGTAAATTCAAGGCCAGCATGGTCAACTTAGTGAGACCCTGTCTCAAAATAAAATAAAATTTTAAAGGATGGGTATGTTGCTCAGTGATACAGCATGGGCCTAGTAAGCATCCTTGGTTCAATACCCAGTATCACAAAGTCGGAGTAGGAGGAAATGAAGAAAAGAAGAAAGAAGAATGATGAAAATTATCGAAGTTAGTCCTAAAAATTGGATACATCAATTTGGCCAGAATTTGATCCCACTGCCCCGACATGAAATACAAGAGAGACTGGGAAATATAGAAAAACATAAATATTGATAATTACTAATAGTTCGCCTCTGTGTTCTCAGTTATTATCTCCAAAGGAAATTGCTTTGAAATATTTTGAATAATTCTTCTGATATTACTCCACCTGTCTTAATATACTGCAGTTTCTTGTTTTTCAGATTTAGACATTATCCATTGTCTTTCTCCTGTGGAGGAAAATGATATAGTTAGTTCTTTCTTGACATCACCCCCAAGTAATGAACAGTCACTCTCTCCCTATCCACACATTCTTCCTGTCCCCTCATCTCAAAATATTGATTGATAATTTTTTGTTAAGTAAAAAGTTAGTGTTACCTCTATTATGTTTAAGTAAATATACAATCCAATGTCACATAGTATACTGTGATCACATTGACTTTTAATATAAGATTTTACTTTCCTTAATAATTTACTTTTTATGTAATTATTAGTAATCTGTCCTCAAACACAGCCAAAATGATAAGGCACAATACATCACTATAGCAGATATTTTTTTTCCTTACATCTATTCATTGTACAGTATTACCACCACTAGTCCATTCAAGATGAGTAACTTTCACTAATCCAAAACTACTGTCCTCTGTTGGATCACTTGTACCTTTTTTTCTTTGTTTAAACATTTTTGTGTGTGTGAAAAACATTCTCTAGTACATTTCTGAAATAATGTAATGGGAGTGTAGGAGACAAAGTTATGTACCCCCTTCCAATAAGTTCATATCCTAGTTTTTATACCCTTGGCAAGAGGAACTTTATCAGTAATTACATTAAAGATACTGAAATAGAAAAACTACCTTGGATTACCAGGCTTTAAAGGAGGGAGAAAGATGTCAGAGATGGGAAAATATTCTACACTCTTGGCTTTGAAGTTAGAAGAAACAACTGTGAGCAAAGGAATGTAGGTAATGGCTAAAAGCTGGAAAAGAGAAGGAAACAGATTCTGCCCTAGATCCTCTAGAAGGAACATAGCCCTGCTGACCCATTTCAGACTTCAGACCTCTGAAACTAAGTTAAAAATTCATATTGTTTAAACTACTAAGTTTAAAGCAATTTATTATAGCAGTTATATGAAACTAATATGAGGAAAGTGATGATTTTTTTAGTACTTTGCAGATGTGAAAAATACCATAAACATAAATATTATCTGTCTATATTTAAATTTATAGGTTGAAAGTCATTTTCTTGGAATAATCATCTAAAGTCTTCTTCTTTCTGATTCTTGTTTTTCTTAACATGTTTTTTTCTTCCTGGTATCTAGATTCATTTTTTTCCACATGAAGTTTTTATTGACTATTTAATTTATACCATTATATTCATATTTTATTTTTTTTCTTATTCTTTATCCATTTTAACATGCTATTTTGGTATCAGGATTCCATTATCTGTTAGCTCTATAATCTTAAAAACCTTTTTAAAATTTACTTTGTTATCCACATTGTATTTTTCTCAGATTTTATTTTTACTTTTTTATCTTTTGCTTTTATATTTATTCCTAAATATCTAGTAATCTTTGACTTTCTAGTCATACTGAATAATGAGTATTAAAGTGCTTCAGCATTATGTTCATTTTTTAAAATATTAAATATTAAAAATATTAAAGACCAAGGATTAAAGTGGTAATGGAATATCATTGTATTTAAATGGATTGTTACACCAACAACTTCAGAATAGTGCAAGGTTTAGCACTGAGAGTTTCTCAAGCATCTGTAGAGGAAATCAACTCAGGAAGATAAAAGGGGAAATCAGTGCATTAAAAATAAATGTGCAGTAGAGAGAAAAGAAATAAGGCCAAAATTTGCTCTTTGAACAGATAGATGAAATTGATACAACTTAAGATAGACTGTCCAGGAAAAATAAAATTCAAACTACTGATATCAGAAATAAAAAGTGAAACATCACCAAAGAACTTACAGAGAGTAAAACATAGAATGTTAAGAAAATAATATTTGTGACAAAATATTTGACATTTTACTTTCATGAAAGATACTTTACCAAAACTGATATAAGAAGTAATAGACTATGTGAATTATATTGAAATTGATAAATTGTATCTGTATTTGTCTGCTCAGGTTATGAACTTTTATCATTAGCTCCAATTCTTTACTCAGACTGTCAGAATACCACAGACAAAATGCTTTAAACAATATAAATTATTATCTTTTAAATATTTTTATTAGTTGTGGATGAATTTTTAAAAATTTATTTATATGTGGTGCTGAGAATCGAACTCAGTGCATCACACATGCTAGACAAGTGCTCTACCACTGAGCCACAACCCCAGCCTCTAGAAATCATTTTATCACATTTCTGGAGGCCAAAAAGATGAAGGTGTCTTCAGGATTGTTTTCTGTTGAGTCCTCTCTTCTTGTCTTGAAGATCACTGATTGCCTTTTCACCATGTCCTTTTATGGTCTCTTCCTTATGTATACGTGGGGTAGGGGAGAAGGAAGGAAGAGAACATGGGTAGGCTCTGGTGTACCTTCTTATAAGGACAGCAGTTCTATTAGATTAGGGACCCACTCTTGAGAACTCATTTAACTTTATCTCCTCAAAGCCCCATCTTCAGGTTACAATCCCATTGAGGGTTAGAGCTTTAATAAGTAAGTGAATGAAAGACACATTTGAATCCACAACAATATACTTAATTTAAAAATTTCCCATAATTTCAGGTTAGGTAACATTAACATCAAGGTCCACCAAATATTTAAGGTGGGAAGGAAAAGGTAGTACTCATCTTTCAGATTTCCATATTCTTTTAGAGAATAGGGGGGAAAATGGAGGCTTTTCCAATTTTGTTTCTATTTGTTCCTTTATTTTAGGCCAGGACAACCTTTATTGCCAGTTCTCATGAGGACATTGTAAGAAAGAAATTTTCAGGCAAATATTTTTATAAATAATGTGGTAGCTTTTATTATTAGCCCCAATTCTCCATTCCTTTTGGATGCATGCCTTTTGTCTTATGACATTGTAGTACCTCCCACCTTCATAAGCAAAATATATTTCCCCATACTTTGGCTCTGGATTTATCCACATGACTTACTATGGCCAATGGGACATTAGCAGATAAGATGCAAAGAGGAGCTTGAAATGTGCTTATACAGTGAAGCCTTTCCACTGTGCCTCTGCCATCATTATGAAAAAGAAGAGCTTCTCCCAGCTAACCTGCTGCTTCCAGGAGAATCAAGAAACATTTGGGGCAGAGCTAAAAGCAGAGCTCAGAAACCTACAAAAGAAGCACAGCCACTCAGATGAGAGGCTATTCTAGGTCAAGTAAATATAAAATCAACCTACAAACATATTTGGGAAATATTATAAGCCATTGAGTTTAGGGTAGTTTATTACACTAACTAGTCAATGTAGAAATACTTTCAGAGACTCTAAAAAAATAGGTGCAAATCACATTAAGCAATATACTTTAAAAAGAGAATACACTATGACCAAGTAGGGTGTATTCTGGGAATTCTACATTGGTTTTACATTTGGAAGTCTATCAATATAATTCACCATACCATTAAAGTATGATTATCTCAGTAGGTGTTGAAAAATCATTTATATGTGTAATAGCATTCATGTTAAAACTCATGAGCATTTTAGGACTAGAAGAGAATGTCCTTACTCTGCAAAAATACCTATAGTGAATAATATAATTATGTTAATATGTTAAAAATTTCCTCTAAATATTGGGAACTGAATAAATATAGTTATTATTGTATTGCCACTTCTATTCAGTATTATAAGAGGTCCTTATTCAGTGAAGTCTATCAAGAAAAAGAAAGAAAAGCTATAAGAAAGAAAAGCAAGAACCACCATTACTGGCAGACAATATAATTCGATTTTTACAAAGTCCAAAAGAATCTGCATACATTGTTACACTATCAAAATTAATATGTGCATTTCATTGCTGGATATTAAATCAGCATTTAAAGTAAACTATAAGAACCAATAAAACCTGACTTTAAGATTTACTATAAAATAATATTAATCAAGACAGTATTCAGAAAGAAGTAGAGATCTCAGAAATAGACCTGCACTAGTAATAGTCAACTGATCCTTGACAAAGGAGCAAACATAATACAATGAAGAAAAGATAATATACTACACATAGTGTTAGAACAACTGGATACCCACATGAGGGGGGAAAAAAAGCAAAATCTAGACACAGACCTTACACCCTCTCAAAAATTAACTCAAATGTACAATAGACTGAAACAAAATGTAAAAGTGTAAAAATCCTATGAGATAGGAGAAAACCTAAATAACTTTGGTTTTGGTGATGATTTTTTTATTTAGTTATAACACGAAAGGCGTGATCCATGAATTGACAGAGTTCATTAAAACTTTAAAACTTTTGAGCTGGGATTGTGGATCAGCGGTAGAGCACTCACCTAGCGCAGGTGGAACCCAAGTTCGATTCTCAGCACCACATAAAATTAAAAAAGGCATTGTGTTGTGTCCATCTACAAAAAAGATATTCTCTCTCTC